AAATAAATTGAAAATGTTCTTAGAAATTCTATATGAATTTGTTCTTCTTCTTTCAACAAATGTTCAAAACTTCATATTATTTGAATCCTACTGAGAGGTGTAACCCTAATTCCAAGTCAGGATGTTCTTTTATTTTTAATCTTTCACTTCTATTATTTATTTCTGAGTAACCCGAACATAAGCGACTGGACCAATAAAACCACTAATTTGTGGTTATAATACTTTCTAAATATGTAATTTTTATAAAAAGACAAGTAATCCTAATTAAAGTCATTATCAATATTTTGTAGTACCCATCAAGGGACCAGATTATTCTCTTATTAAACAAAATTGTTGCAAGCATTTTATACTAATCATCTAAATTAATTTTTAATATCCCAACATTTGCATTGACTACTTAACTAACATCACAGCTTTAAGACACCTAAATCCAATTAAAAAAGACTTTAAACGACTTATATCTAACCCACTAACTATTTTAAAAAATAACTATACACAAATTCAAACATCACTAAATTAATTGCCAACCAACTAAAAAAGAAAACTTAAACAAAACTAGGATAACAAAATTATCTAACAAGAGAGATCTTTTTGATGACATTAAGTCCACATCCAAAATTGTTAGAAGAATTAAAATTTTTAAATTATTCACGAAGTTACTCTTATATATCAATACCAATAAAGCAAAAATGACCTAAGAAGAAAAAAGAATGAATAAGAGAAGCAACACTATAAGAAAAAGAATCTAACAAGAAATCTTCTAATGGTAAGATGTAAAAAGTAGGGTACAAGAAATATGGGCTTCTTAATATCTCTCAATCCCACATTTTAATGCAAGATAAATATTACTGATTTCATAATGACCATTGACACATCACAGAAGAATATTTTAAGTGTAATAACGAAATCTTAGTAGTTAACTAAAATATTTCACTTGTAAGATTTTAAAGAGGAGAAAAAAATCCTTAGAGAAGAAAATAACGATAACAAGGCTTTCTCGTCCTCTAACAAAGGTGACCTACGCAATAACTAAGGGGGAGATATCAAGGAATGTTAGGAAAAATCAAATTTGTTCTATCTCACATACCTTTAAAAGAAGTTAAAAACACTAAACTATGCTTCTAAAAAAAAGATATGAAGAGAATCCAAACACCCAATGATGATGTAGTAATGATTAATTGTTAAAATCTATAGGATAAATAGGAAAGTATACAAAATTTGTTTCATTTTAAGAGAAATAGATAGAATTGTAGATCTCCTCCCAAAGCTCAATTCATCTCGACAAATTGAAAAAATATACAATTTTTTTATATATATATATTTTACTCACACAAGGTGACCATTATTTGAGATAATTAACTTCTTTTCTTAAAAAAAATATAAAAAAAAAAGGGGAAAAAAAAAGCCATTTCATGCTAAAGCCAAATTTACTCTTGTGTTAACTTGATGCCTTATATAAGAGTAAGGTTTGAGCCTCAATTAAATATACCTAACATTTTTTGTGATTGAAGCCTCCTCACTAACTAGTGTCCCCTTAATCCACTGCATAGTTGCAACTTGAAATATACCATATTTATACATATATATATATATAGGTGTGTAATTCACATTTTATTTCCAAGGCTTTTTTGTTTTAAATAGTTAAGAAGAAATATTTAGTTTAATTCATGTATAAAATTAAATTGTTAATTTTTTTGTTTTTAAAAAATACATAATTATTTTTATATGATAAAAGTTTAATATAAATATAAAAATATAAAAATAAAGTTTCGAAAAGTATAGGTAAATACATACATTTATTTATTTATAAGACACACAAGTCCAAAAAATAAAAATAAAAATAAAAATTTGTGATTGAAGCATGATTCCTGGCTACTTCAATTGGTGATTGTTGTGTAATATACCCTACAAGGAGAGCAATCCACATCCAATGATTTTTGTTAAACAAAATCTTTGATTTGATTCTCCTAAAAAAAAAAAAAAAAAAAAAGTTTATTTCAAAAAACTTCTCATCATTGCTTTTTATTTTTTATTTTCTTATTTTTGTCTCTGAATATAATTAACACCAATCCAAACAGTGATTAGATTCTAAACACCAATTAATATACTCTTAATCCCACTTTTAATTTTGTTTCTTTTTGCCTAATTGCTTTTTCGTATTTTGACATTTTTCAATAATTTAAAACACAAAATGATTCATGATCTTGGGATTTGACACACTTCACTAATTGTAATTCATAAAAGTTGGGGTTAGGCCTTAGGCGTGGAAAATTATATTTATATATATACACACACACACACACACAAAGTGGTCATGTCGGTGGAAAATAAGGGAAATATTTACTTACATATTTATAAATTATTAATTTCCTTTGAGTTTAAATTAATAAACTTAAATATGTGTGTATAAATGGGTTTAAATTAATCCGGATCTCAATGTCTGGGCGTGTCAATAGCAAAACGTATCAGATTCAGCAAGCTAAACTATACTCTGTTCCTAACAGCGCTTCACTTGCCTTTTGATTTCCAGAATAACCAGTAATTAATCTCAGAACCCGAATCAGAAATTCATTCAGTCTCCATTTCCTCTTTCAACCAGTCATCCACCAACCACCTATTGCTTTACCAGCTTCAGGTTCTTACCTTGTATTTCTTCTTCTTCTTCTTCGTTCTTTTTTCCTTTTTTTTTTTTTTTTTTGCATTTTCTCCTGCATGTATGTACTTTCTCTGTTTTTGCTGCTCTGTTTGTTACTTTACTAAAACTGATAGCTTCCTTAACTAATCAATTGGAATTTGTACTTGACCTGAGCTCTATTTTCATTGGCCCAGTTAGCGAGTTGACTGCAGGGAGTCGTTGAAAAGCTGCCTTCCTTTTTCTTATTTTGTTTGGTTGTCAATAACTCCACGGAATGAAAATAAATTTCTTTTCGGATTCTTGCTTTTTGTTTCTGTCAGTGTTATTTTTTTGTAAGGAAATACCAAATTGAGCTGAAGATGTAGTTGGATAGAGGTTGGTTGATTCTTATTTTTTAGTTTTATTGGAGAACAAATGATGTGGCATTCCAGATTCTGCTTGTTAACTTCTTGTGTAGCTTTAGGTAGCTCGAAGTACAACGAATGTTTTTAATGAATTGCTGTTATTAGTTATTACAGGCTTTCTTGGAACTTGCTTTTAATAGCGTCTCACGCCCAAGTTTTGAATTCGAAATAGTTGTTGCCGTAACAATGACTGAGAATTTCATTTGGGTGCTAAAGAGATGCGATGAAGAATCACTTGATGGAGATTGTTCGTGATGCCGGTGTTACACGAGGTTACTGGAGGCAAGAGGACTAGATAGCATCTCTGGTGAACTCTGGTGGGATGGGCTGTGAGTGTTCCAAGTTATCTGCCTGTTGTTGGAGTGCAGAACAAAACGGATCAGTTCCTGAGGTCCAAGATGTTGGTAAGTAGAGTGATGTCTTCTTTTTTGCATTTTTTTACTTATGGAGAGTGGTTGTAATGTTTGAGTTTTCTTTTTCTTTTTTTTTTATCTTGGTTTAATATTCAGAGGATGAGGATAAGGGTGAAGTTGACGACCTCCCACCATTCCGAGAATTCTCCATTGAGACCCTTAAGATGGCTACATCAGGATTTGCTGTGGAGAATATAGTTTCAGAACATGGAGAAAAGGCTCCAAATGTGGTTTACAAGGGCAAGCTGGACAATCAAAGGCGGATCGCTGTTAAAAAATTTAATAGGTCGGCTTGGCCTGACGCACGGCAGTTTTTGGTATATTTTTACTCACTAAACTTGTATTTGCTCGTTGTGAACATACTGTGTATTTATTTCAAGTTTTAATTACCAAATTCCTCGTCTATATTTGCAAATTGGTTCATGTTCTATTTTGGCATTGGTTTACTGCTAAAAAGGTACGGGGTCTTGCGGATTAATAAACACTGTGTATCCAGTGCTTGCGGGATTGGAAATTGTTTAATTTATTAGCATGTGCAAATATGCTTTGATCTTTTTCGACACTAACATGATTTTCTCAAGTATAAATCTGATTTCTTTGCTATAACGCAACTATTTTGCTTCTTGGATGGCCACTGTATCCTTGTGGTAATTTGATTCATTCATGTCAAATTTAACTAGCTTTTTTAAGTATGATATATTGTATGTGTATGGTCTTTAGGGACCTTTTAATTCGCCGTCATAGATATCATCATAATTAAAGCTGGATCTCACTCTGGGCAAATGAATTTACTGGACATTGACACGTGATTTCTTGTCCTTGCAATATGGAATCTTGTAGCTCGTTAATTTTGATTTGGTGTAACTATAGGATGAAGCAAGGGCAGTTGGTCAGCTCCGAAACCATAGATTGGCAAATTTACTGGGTTGTTGCTGTGAGAGTGAGGAGAGGTTACTTGTTGCAGAATTTATGCCCAATGAAACATTGGCAAAGCATCTGTTTCACTGTGAGTTTGTGTTAAGTGCTTCCTTTAGATTTATCATCTAAAATATTCATTTTTGCATTTGGAATTTGTACATCATTTGGTTGAGTGGTTGACGTTTCTCTGTCTGTACCATACGGAATATAATTGTTTCAAATAATTAGTTAATATCTTCTGCTATATCTGTCTCTGTTATTTTCACCTACTCAATTTTTGCTTCCCTTGAGCACATGAGTTGTAATTTCTCCAATCGATTTTTTAATGAAGAAAAAGTCATATATTAAGAGGACACCAGCTGGTGCCACCCAGTTACAAGGATTATGAGCCACATGGCTGCTGCAAGAGATACATGGCTGCTGGAACAACGTTGTTATTGTTTTATTTAGCTATCTAGTTTTTATTTAATGATATTATTAGTTATCAGGACAAGTGTGAAGCTTGTTTTTAGCATGTGGGTTAATCACTGGTAACCAGGGAAGTTATTATTCTTGGGAGCAGCTATATTGTTTTACCAATAAAAACTTAATGCCAATTTGAATAAAGGATATGCAGAGAATTTGTCTCTGTGTCTTAGGTACTGTACTTAAAAGGAGATTTTTGAGCTCTCTTTAATGATGTCATACTATTAATCAAAATTCTGTAATAATATCCTGAGTGAGGACCATCACATTTGGTATCAAGCTATAACACACACCTCTTTTGTGGAGGGAGTATTGTTATGAGCCACATGGCTGCTAGAAATTGGGTCACACAGCTGCTGGAGTGAATGATGCATGGCTGATGAGATGATGCCTGGCTGCTGGATCGGAGTTATTATTTTATTTAGTTACCTAATTTATTTAATGGTATAATTAGTTATTAGGATAATTCTGAGTACAGTTTCTAGTTTGTGAAGTAGGTAGTTCCAACCAAGGAAGTTGTTATTCTTAGGAGCAGTTGTCTTTTATTGTACAAAAACAGGATAGCAAACTAAAGAAGTGATATGAAGAGAAGCTCTTTAAGTTTCTTAAGTGCTTTGACTTAAGGGGATCTTTCGGTTCTCTTAACAAGCCTATACCACTAGTGAAAATTCCATAAGAGAATTTTAAGTAGGGGCTATAAGTTAAAACTCATCAAAATATCCATAATGTCTCCAGATCCTTATTAAAATAAATAGGTTGCTCTTTTTATTAAAAAAAACAAGAGTTTGGAGCTACTGATCTCTAATCCTACATAAGAGGGAACAAATCCCATTCGATATGCATTCTATTTGCTTCTCTCCAGATAACCCAAAGAATATACAGGGGAAGAGTTTTTTTTTTTTTTTTCACTCTTACCGAGCCTGATGCTGCACCAAGCCCAGAGTTCACTAGCCATAGTGCTGCTAATCACCCATTTGAAGCCTATAAGATCAAGATGATATCGTAGAGGGCACCAAAGCATTGTAATTTCTACACTTAAAATAAATTGAATGACAGTGGTAGAAAAGTTGGATGATAAGATATATTCTTCTATTATTGGATGCAGCCTCGGTCTGTTAGACCAGTTGAGAAAAGATAAGATAACATTCATATTTAGACTTAATTTATTAGTTTTTATTGTGGCATCTGTCTTGGTCTTGCTACTTTTTGGGTCATAAATGCCATGTTTTTTCCTCCACAGTCTATGTTGTATTAGCTACTAAGGTTAAATGTAAATTAAAAAACCCACTTATGGATTAGTCCCAGAATTTATTTGAGTATAGGAAGTATCTTCTCTTCTGTTTATTAAGGCTTCTGATAGAATTCATTGGGTATAGCGATATCTGTTTACTAAGGCTTCTGGTAGAATTCACTGGAATAATCATCGTGGTAAACGTTTTGATGGAAATTGTAACTTGAAATTTGCTTATATGTTTCCAGGGGAAACACAGCCAATGAGATGGGCAATGCGACTTAGGGTGGCTTTATATCTTGCTCAAGCTCTAGAATATTGTACGAGCAAGGGACGTGCCCTTTATCATGATTTGAATGCTTATAGAATTGTTTTTGATGATGTAAGTATGTTAGTTTCTTTTTGTTTGTTATCTTATTTGTCTTACAATTTAGGATAAAATCCTCAATTACTATATTATTATTATCACTTAGGAGGGCAACCCAAGACTATCATGCTTTGGTCTGATGAAGAACAGTAGAGATGGAAAAAGTTATAGCACAAATTTGGCATTTACTCCTCCTGAGTATCTTAGAACAGGTAGTTATATACTCCCTGAAATATGTT